TGGCTATTAACATTAGAATGACATAACCAGAATGACTCCCAGTAGAGATAGTCTGGCTATTAACATTAGAGTGACATGATACAAAATGGCTCCCAGTAGAGATAGTCTGACTATTAACATTAGAGTGACATGACAGGAATGACTCCCAGTAGAGATAGTCTGGCTATTAACATTAGTGTGACATAACCAGAATGACTCCCAGTAGAGATAGTCTGGCTATTAACCTTAGAGTGACATGACAGGAATGACTCCCAGGAGGGATAGTCTGAGTATTAACATTAGAGTGACATAACTAGAATGACTCCCGGTAGAGATAGTCTGGCTATTAACGTTAGAGTGACATGATACAAAATGGCTCCCAGTAGAGATAGTCTGACTATTAACATTAGAGTGACATGACAGGAATGACTCCCAGTAGAGATAGTCTGGCTATTAATGTTAGAGTGACATAACCAGAATGACTCCCAGTAGAGATAGTCTGACTATTAACGTTAGAGTGACATGACCAGAATGACTCCCAGTAGAGATAGTCTGGCTATTAACATAAGAGTGACATGACCAGAATGACTCCCAGTAGAGATAGTCTGGCTATTAACGTTAGAGCGACATGACAGGAATGACTCCCAGTAGAGATAGTCTGGCCATTAACATTAGAGTGACATAACCAGAATGACTCCCAGTAGAGATAGTCTGACTATTAACATTAGAGTGACATGACAGGAATGACTCCCAGTAGAGATAGACTGGCTATTAACATTAGAGTGACATAACCAGAATGACTCCCAGTAGAGATAGTCTGGCTATTAACTTTAGAGTGACATGATACAAAATGGTTCCCAGTAGAGATAGTCTGACTATTAACATTAGAGTGACATGACAGGAATGACTCCTAGTAGAGATAGTCTGGCTATTTACATAAGAGTGACATAACCAGAATGACTCCCAGTAGAGATAGTCTGACTATTAACATTAGAGTGACATAACAGGAATGACTCCCAGTAGAGATAGTCTGACTATTAATTTTAGAGTGACATGACCAGAATGACTCCCAGTAGAGATAGTCTGACTATTAATTTTAGAGTGACATGACCAGAATGACTCCCAGTACAGATAGTCTGACTATTAACGTTAGAGTGACATGACAGGAATGACTCCCAGTAGAGATAGTCTGACTATTAACTTAAGAGTGACATAACCAGAATGAGTCCCAGTAGAGATAGTCTGGCTACTAGAGTGACATAACCAGAATGACTCCCAGTAGAGATAGTCTGACTATTAACATTAGATTGACATGACAGGAATGACTCCCAGTAGAGATAGTCTGGCTATTAACATTAGAGTGACATAACCAGAATGACTCCCAGTAGAGATAGTCTGACTATTAACGTTAGAGTGAGATGACCATGATGACTCCCAGTAGAGATAGTCTGACTATTAACATTAGAGTGACATGACAGGAATGACTCCCAGTAGAGATAGTCTGGCTATTAACATTAGAGTGACATAACAAGAATGACTCCCAGTAGAGATAGTCTGGCTAATAACGTTAGAGTGACATGACAGGAATGACTCTCAGTAGAGATCATGGAGATAGTCTGGCTATTAACGTTAGAGTGACATAACCAGAATGACTCCCAGTAGAGATAGTCTGGCTATTAACATTAGAGTGACATGACCAAAATGACTCCCAGTAGAGATAGTCTGACTATTAACGTTAGAGTGACATGACCAGAATGACTCCCAGTAGAGATAGTCTGGCTATTAATGTTAGAGTGACATGACCAAAATGACTCCCAGTAGAGATAGTCTGACTATTAACATTTATAGAGTGACATGACTAGAATGACTTCCAGTGGAGATAGTCTGGCTATTAACGTTAGAGTGACATGACCAGAATGACTCCCAGTAGAGATAGTCTGACTATTAACATTTATAGAGTGACATGACCAGAATGACTCCCAGTAGAGATAGTCTGACTATTGACGTTAGAGTGACATGACCAGAATTACTCCCAGTAGAGATAGTCTAACTATTAACGTTAGAGTGACATAACCAGAATGACTCCCAGTAGAGATAGTCTGGCTATTAACATTAGAGTGACATGACCAGAATGACTCCCACTAGAGATAGTCTGACTATTAACGTTAGAGTGACATGACACAAAATGACTCCCAGTAGATATAGTCTGACTAATAACATTTATAGAGTGACATGACCAGAATGACTCCCAGTAGATATAGTCTGGCTATTAACATTAAAGCGACATGACCAGAATGACTCCCAGTAGAGATAGTCTGGCTAATTACATTTATAGAGTGACATGACCAGAATGACTCCCAGTAGATATAGTCTGGCTATTAACATTAAAGCGACATGACCAGAATGACTCCCAGTAGAGATAGTATGGCTATTAACGTTAGAGTGATATGACCAGAATGACTCCCAGTAGCATGAGTAGAGATTGTCTGGCTATTAACGTTAGAGTGACATGACCAGAATGACTCCCAGTAGAGATAGTCTGGCTATTAACGTTAGAGCGACATGACCAGAATGACTCCCAGTAGAGATAGTCTGGCTATTAAAGTTAGTGACATAACCAGAATGACTCCCAGTAGAGATAGTGTGGCTATTAGCGTTAGAGTGACATGACCAGAATGACTCCCAGTAAAGATAGTCTGGCTATTAAAGTTAGAGCGACATGACCAGAATGACTCCCAGTAGAGATAGTCTGTCTATTAACGTTAGAGCGACATGACCAGAATGACTCCCAGTAGAGAAAGTGTGGCTATTAACGTTAGAGTATCATGACCAGAATGACTCCCAGTAGAGATAGTCTAGCTAATGTTGGTGCGACATGACCAGAATGACTCCCAGTAGAGATAGTCTGACTGTTAACGTTAGAGTGACATGACCAGAATGACTCCCAGTAGAGATAGTCTGACTGTTAACGTTAGAGTGACATGACCAGAATGACTCCCAGTAGAGATAGTCTGACTATTCAGGTAGAGTGACAAGACCAGAATAGGGGTTCAAAAAGTTTGGGGGGATTTTTTTATATTTTTTTCCCTGTTTTCAAATTAGTCCACTTTATGGTTTGAATTGTCCAAAATTAGACATTGTTTGATTAAAATTAAATTTTTGGTGTTTTTTCTATATGCTGCATCTAACCACGTTGTTAGATTTTGGATATCAGACCATACTAGGTAAATTAAATGTCCCTTTTCAAAATTTTTAGATCTTTGACCACATTTATTTATTTCAGAAACCTATATTATGTCAAAAATTTGATCACAATCCAAATTCAGACAGTATCAAGCTTGATTATTGTCTGGCAGGTATCATCTGACCTTGACATTATTTTCATTGTTCATTGTCAATGTTAAGTTTCTTGTGTTTGGTCTGTTTTTCAATTATCGTAAGCAATGGGTCAACTATATTTGGTGTATGGAATGGTTGTAAGGTATATATGTTTGTCTGGCAGGTATTATCTGACCTTGACGTCATTTTCATGGTTCATTGGTATATGTTAAGTTTTGTGCTTTGGTCTGTTTTTCAAGTACTTTAAGAAATATTTCAACTATATTTGGCGTATGGAATGGTTTTAAGCTGTATATGTCTGTCTGGCAGGTATCATCTGACCTTGACCTCATTTTCATGTTTCATGGTCAATGATAAATTTTTTGTTTGTTTTGGTCTGTTTTTCAATTATCATAAACAATAGGTCAACTTTATTTTGTGTATAAAAAATTGTAAGGTGTATATGTCTGTCTGACAGCATTTATCTGACCTGAGTTTCTGTGATGTTTTTTAGTTATGCCTTTATCTTTAGACATTCAACATAAAATCAGCGGTCAGTAATTCAGGCGAGACATTTCAGCGTGTGCACTCTTGTTTTAATTTTTCCATGCTATTATGAATTATCCTAAAAACTCTTACACTGAGCGTTTTATGGAACTATGGAAGGTTTTAATAGACCCTTCTTTTTTCATTTATGACAATTATATACAAATTCAGAGAAAGTTTAACCAATATTTAGATAAATGTGATGTAAACTGAAATTCAGCTATTTTATACTTTCAGTTTGAAGATCTATTTGTATTTATCTATTCAAGGACCAGTCAATTTTATTACTATAGGTAAGTGAACATAATCATGATAATAGTCAAATTGTATTGGAATGTTTAATAATTTGGTTTATCAAATAAACTACAATGTTTCATGTGAATATTAAAATTCTAAAAGGGGAGATAATCAAGAACTAGCTGCATGGTTCATTCTAGTAAGTAGCATTACACCAGTCCAGTGCTTTTTAATTCTTTTTTTACAGGATTAACATTTTTCACTCTGCAACTTGTATACAAAAATAACATGAAGTAATTACATATTTAATTGCATTTAAGAGTAAAAAACTGATAAAACATTGCAATCATTAAAATAGGAATTGTATATAACAATAGAGTTGTTAACTAAGAAATCAGCTGTATGAATGAAAGATGGGAGATAGTGTTCTCACTAAGGCTGTCAATGAGTCATGGACTCGTGAAATTTTGTCTGGACTCATCATTTTCAAAACTGATGATTCTAAAGATTCATAAGGATCATAAAATATTGTATCAACTAAGCATGCATATCTTCATATCATTTTATAGCAAATGTTTAAAAATGATAAAATTTGATGTCATTTCCTTTCTCTATTTTATCATATAGACTAAAGCAATAATTATGTAGCAATGAAATTTATTTTCACTGTTGAAATCGCCAAGGTCATAAATGACGATTCCCTGGACTCCCCTTCAAGAGTCCTAAGTCAGAATCCTATGAGGTCTATGTCAATCAGACAGCAACCAATCAATGACGATTCCCTGGACTTGCCTTCAAAAGTCCTTAGTCAGAATCCTAGGAGGTCTATGTCAATCAGACAGCAACCAATCAATGACGATTCCCTGGACTTGTCTACAAAAGTCCTTAGTCAGAATCCTAGGAGGTCTATATATATATAGATGTCAATCAGACAGCAAACAATCAATGACGATTCCCTGGACTTGCCTACAAAAGTCGTTAGTCAGAATCCTAGGAGGTCTATGTCAATCAGACAGCAACCAATCAATGACGATTCCCTGGACTTGCCTACAAAAGTCCTTAGTCAGAATCCTAGGAGGTCTATGTCAATCAGACAGCAACCAATCAATGACGATTCCCTGGACTTGCCTACAAAAGTCCTTAGTCAGAATCCTAGGAGGTCTATGTCAATCAGACAGCAACCAATCAATGACGATTCCCTGGACTTGCCTACAAAAGTCCTTAGTCAGAATCCTAGGAGGTCTATGTCAATCAGACAGCAACCAATCAATGATGATTCCCTGGACTTGCCTACAAAAGTCCTTAGTCAGAATCCTAGGAGGTCAATGTCAATCAGACAGCAACCAATCAATGACGATTCCCTGGACTTGCCTACAAAAGTCCTTAGTCAGAATCCTAGGAGGTCTGTATCAAACAGACAGCAACCTATCAATGAGAGATGTCAAAATGGTATTCATTGAGTCTTTATTACATGTTATTATTTCTACTTTAATACAAACATTTCTATTTCTAGATTGAACATCTATTATTGATATTTATTTATAGACCCTTGTCCACTCAATGTGATCCTCGTCCAGTCAATGTGACCCTCGTCCAGTCAATGTGACTCTCGTCCAGTCAAGATGTTATTATAGGTAAGTGTACATTATTTGTGAACTATATATATCCCTCTGATAAAACATTTATAATGGAAAATCCCTTTATTATCAGATTTAAAAAAAAAGGTTTATACTTGATTTAAAATCGGCATCCAATGAAATTGCTTAGGGCTTTTCCAGAATTATTTGAATGGGAGTGGCATTGACTTTCTTTCAAATTTGATGTGTGGTGGTTATTTTAGACAAAGCCTTAACAATTTTATTAAGTAATCAATTAAGATTTTATGCATTTCGGTGTTAATTAAAAAGTGCATTCCTATACCACCCCCTTCTTTTCCCCCTGCTAAACAACATGGCCGACATGGCTCAAAATAGAATTTATGGGTAGAATGCAAGTTTTGTCTATTATCTTGAAAACTGCTAAAGGTCGAGAAATTCTGACATGCAGAAATGTTCAGAATGTTTGTCTGGCAGGCTTTTCAGATCTTATTTTCATGGTTCATTGGTCAGAGTTAAGTTTTAGTGGTTTGGTCAGGTTCTCAGATACTATAAGCAATAGATCAGCTGTATTTTGGTTTATGATATGCTTGTAAGGTAAACATGTTTGTCTATCCGCATGGTTTATACGAACATTATCTTATTTTCATGGTTCATTCATCAATGTTTATATTGCATGGTTATATAAAAATAAGGAGATGTGGTATGATTGTCAACATGGTCAATGAGAACTATCCGCCAAATTAAAAATAAGGAGATGTTGTATGATTTTACATATTTTACAAATCTGTGAAAATTATATAAATGCAATGTTTTTAGTATTTGTTAGTTGGTATTATCATTGATATAAAAATAAGGAGATGTAGTATAATTGCAAATGAGACAACTATCCGCCAAAGTATAAAGAGAGGTGGTATGATTGCCCATGAGAACTATCCGCCAAAGTAAAAATAAATAGATGTGGTATGATTGCCAGTGAGACGACTATTTTGCAAAGTAAAAATAAGGAGATGTGGTATGATTGCCAATGAGACAAATATTCGCCAGAGTAAAAATAAGGAGATGTGGTTTGATTGCCAATAAGAACTATCTGCCAAAGTAAAAATAAAGAGATGTGGTATGATTGCCAATAAGACAACTATCCGCCAAAGGAAAATAAGGGAGGTGTGGTATTGTTGCCAATGAAAACTATCCGCCAAAGTAAAAATAAAGAGTTGTGGTATTATTGCCAATGATACAACTATCTTCAAAAGTAATATTGAAGGTTCATTGTATGTTGATGACTTTTTAATATGTTATAGAGGCAAAAATATGAATAACATAGAAAGACAAATACAGTTATGTCTTGGAAGAATTGAAAAATGGGCCTCGGAAAATGGGTTTAAATTTTCCACTTCAAAAACGGTCGGGATGCATTTTTGTAACAAAAGGAAATTGCATCTTGATCCAGAACTCACTTTGTACGGCAACCCAATTAAAATGGTTGATGAAACCAAATTTCTTGGGTTAATTTTCAATAAAAAGTTAACCTTTCTACCCCATATCAAAATGTTAAAATCGAAATGTTTAAAAGCATTAGATATTTTAAAAGTTGTCGGCAGAACCGACTGGGGTGCTGATCGCAACATTTTACTTAATTTATATAGATCTCTAGTTAGATCTAAACTAGATTATGGCTCTATAGTGTATGGCTCTGCAAGGAAGTCCTACATACAGATTCTCGATGCTGTGCATCATCAGGGTTTGCGTCTCTGTCTTGGCGCATTTAAAACCTCACCAGTTGAGAGTCTGTATGTAGAGGCTGATGAGCACTCACTCTTTGACAGACGTTTGAAGCTTTGACTTCAATATGCTGTCAAACTAAAAGCCTACTCAGATAATCCTGCCTACAGCTGTGTTTTTAATCCAATTTATGAAGATATTTTAGCAAAACATGAAAATAAAATTCCTCCGTTAGGTATACGTTTAAAACCACATTTAGCTTCTTTTGATTTAAAATCTGTTGCTCAAGTTGAAACTTGCAAATGTCCTCCATGGGAACTTCCCAAACCAAAAATGATATTTGATCTCCGTGAACACAATAAAAATAAAACAAATCCTCTTTTAATTCAGCAACACTATGCTGAAATCAAAGCCAATTATTCAGATTTTTCAACTGTCTATACTGATGGATCAAAAGATGGTGACAGAGTTGCATCTGCTGCTGTCTTCAGGGACAGAGCTGCAACTCTCCGTTTGCCATCTGATGCATCCATCTTTACTGCTGAAGCAGAAGCAATAATTTTGGCTTTGAAATTTATTGCTTCTTCAGATAAATCCAAATTTATTATATGTTCTGATTCACTTTCATGCTTACAAGCTATACAAAATACTAAAATTAAAAACCCAACAATTCTCAAAATTTTATATGTAATGAGGAATTTAAAAATTCTTCTTAAAGAAATATTATTTCTGTGGGTGCCGAGTCATGTTGGAATCCTTGGAAACACAGCTGTAGACCTTGAGGCAAAGAATGTCCTGGGTGACCCTTTATCTAACTGTGATATACCATATACTGATTTTAAATCTAATATTAGAGAATATGTTTTTAATATATTGAAAAATGAATGGAGTAAAAAAGATGATAATAAATTACATGAAATTAAACCTAATTTAGGTAAACCTTTCAATAATGTTATGTGCAGAAAAGATCAGTGTGTTATTTCTAGATGTCGTATTGGTCATACTAGAATAACACACAAATATCTTTTAAAAAATGAAGTAGAACCACAATGTATACCTTGTAACTGCAAGTATACTATAAAACATGTTTTAATCAATTGTATTGACTTTGCTGATATTTGTAAGAAGCATTTATATGTATAATATGTATGATTTATTTAATAATGTTCCATTTACAAATATTGTTTCATTCTTAAAAGAAGTTGGAATATATTCTAAAATATAAAAATTTTATTATATTTAAAACGATTTTAAATTTTATCACGTTATCTTAATGTTCATTTTTATTTGTAAATAATCAATTTGCTTTAATCTAGAATTTTAGTTTATTGAAGGGCCTTTTGTCTGATTTTAAGAATATGCTTTAAATTGTAAAAAATATTCGAATAAGCTCTCGCCGAGATATAGCCTTGTTGTGTTATGCGGTGTAAAGCAACCAACAATCAATCAATCAATCAAAAGTAAAAATAAGGAGATGTGGTTTGGTTGCCAATGAGAACTATCCGCCAAAGTAAAATTAAGAAGATCTGCTATAGTAAAAATAAGGAGATGTGGTGTATTTGCCAATGAGACAACAATCTTCCAAAGTAAAAATAAGGAGATGTGATATGATTGCCAATGAGAACAATTCACCAGAGTAAAAATAAGGAGATGTGGTATGTTGCCAATGAGACAACTATCCGCCAAAGTAAAAATAAGGAGATGTGGTATACTAGTAATTGCCAATGAGACAACTATCTTCCAAAGTAAAAATAAGGAGATGTGGTATGATTGCCAATGAGAACTATCCGCCAAAGTAAAAATAAGAAGATCTACTGTAGTAAAAATAAGGAGATGTGGTATAATTACCTATGAGACAACTATCTTCCAAAGTAAAAATAAGGAGATGTGGTATGATTGCCAATGAGAACTATCCGCCAAAGTAAAAATAAGAAGATATACTGTAGTAAAAATAAGGAGATGTGGTATAATTACCTATGGGACAACTATCTTCCAAAGTAAAAATAAGGCGATGTGGTATGATTGTCAACATGGTCAATGAGAACTATCCGCCAAATTAAAAATAATGAGATGCGGTATGATTGCCAATGAGAACTATCCGCCAAAGTAAAAATAAGAAGATCTACCGTAGTAAAAATAAGGAGATGTGGTATAATTACCTATGAGACAACTATCTTCCAAAGTAAAAATAAGGAGATGTGGTATGATTGCCAATGAGAACTATCCGCCAAAGTAAAAATAAGAAGATCTACCGTAGTAAAAATAAGGAGATGTGGTATAATTACTTATGAGACAACTATCTTCCAAAGTAAAAATAAGGAGATGTGGTATGACTGTCAACATGGTCAATGAGAACTATCCGCCAAATTAAAAATAAGGAGATGTTGTATGATTTTACATATTTTACAAATCTGTGAAAATTATATAAATGCAATGTTTTTAGTATTTGTTAGTTGGTATTATCATTGATATAAAAATAAGGAGATGTAGTATAATTGCAAATGAGACAACTATCCGCCAAAGTATAAAGAGAGGTGGTATGATTGCCCATGAGAACTATCCGCCAAAGTAAAAATAAATAGATGTGGTATGATTGCCAGTGAGACAACTATTTTGCGAAGTATCTCTTCTACCAGTTTCCAGGGAAACTCAATTTGCGACAGTAAAACTAAGGAGATGTGGTTTGATTGCCAATGAGAACTATCCACCAAAGTAAAAATAAGGAGATGTGGTATGATTGCCAATGAGACAACTATTGGCCAAAGTAAAAATAAAAGAGATGTGTGGTATGATTGCCAATGAGACAACTATCAGCCAAAGTAAAAATAAGGAGGTGTTGTATGATTGCCAATGAGAACTATCGGCCAAAGTAAAAATAAGGAGATGTGGTATGATTGCCAATGAGACAACGATTCCCGGCAACGCGTTTTCAGGAAACTCAATTTGCGACAGTAAAACTACCAATGGACGTCTGCACAGCTTCAAATACAATACAGTTATCTCTAATCTAATCTATCTAAAATATATATATATAAATTAGTTTTGTCAAAGTAAACAGTTTTGTCTAACCGGTTAGTCGGATAATCTTTCGACCGATTATCCTGTTAACCTGTAGTAATGTTGATTGATAAAATCTTTGTCTACAGTAAACTTAAAATATAAAAATAATAAGATGTGGTTTGATTGCCAATGAGACAACTCTCCACCAGAGACCAAATGACATAGAAGTTAACAAAACTATATGTCACCTTACGGCTTATGACAATGAGCAAAACCCACACTGCATAGTCAGCTATAAAAAGCCCCGAAATGAAAAATGTAAAACAATTCAAACGAAAAGACTAACAAAGGAACAGGGAGATAACACACAAACATTGATATGTTTATAAGAAGCAGGGAGATAACACAAACATTGATATGTTTATAAGGAACAGGGAGATAACACAAACATTGATATGTTTATAAGAAACAGGGAGATAACACACAAACATTGATATGTTTATAAGAAACAGGGAGATAACACAAACATTGATATGTTTATAAGGAACAGGGAAATAACACACAAACATTGATATGTTTATAAGGAACAGGGAGATAACACAAACATTGATATGTTTATAAGAAACAGGGAGATAAAACAAACATTGATATGTTTATACAGGGAGATAACACACACATTGATATGTTTATAAGAAACAGGGAGATAACACACAAACATTGATATGTTTATAAGGAACAGGGAGATAACACACAAACATTGATATGTTTATAAGGAACAGGGAGATAACACACAAAGATTGATATGTTTATAAGAAACAGGGAGATAACACAAACATTGATATGTTTATAAGAAACAGGGAGATAACACAAACATTGATATGTTTAAAGCGGGAGATAACCCACAAACATTGATATGTTTATACAGAGAGATAACACACAAACATTGATATGTTTATAAGATACAGGGAGATAACACAAACATTGATATGTTTTTACAGGGAGATAACACAAACATTGATATGTTTATAGCGGGAGATAACCCACAAACTTTGATATGTTTATACAGAGAGATAACACACAAACATTGATATGTTTATAAGAAACAGGGAGATAACACAAACATTGATATGTTTATACAGGGAGAAAACACACATACATTGATATGTTTATAAGAAACTTTCGTAACAGTTAACTATAAAAAGAAGTACCAATGAAGTATTTTTATGTGATACATATATATTTTATCAGGCTTAAACAAGTAAATATGATTCATAGTTATTTTTCACAGACACTTTAGATGACGACACAACCTTACTTATAAATTGGGCTGACCTCAGAGGTACATTCATCAGTATTTAATTAGTATGTATCGTATAATATGTTTTTGTCTCGACTTGACGGAGACAAAAAGCGAGACATAGGTATGCTGTTGTCAGCGGCGGCGGTGTCAACAATGTATTAGTTTTAGATTAGGTCTAGTTTATGGTGAACCATAAGTGGTAGTGCAATGATATTTGGTATGCAGTTGTATTAGCATTGGCCCATTTCATTACCATGGAGATTATTTGGCCCTGCCCCCTCAGTCATGGTCTATTGACTTTAAAACTTTTGCTTAGTTTATATGTAGTAGTTTGTGATTAGATCATTTTAAGGGGAACCACTAGTGGTAGGTCAATGATATTTGGTATGCAGTTGTATTAGCATTGGCACATCTCATTTCCATGGAGATTATTTGGCTCCGCCCCCTTAGTCATGGTCTATTGACTTTGAAACTTTTGCTTAGTTTACATGTATTATTTTATGATTAGATCAGTTTAAGATGAACTGCTAATGTTAAATTAATGATATTTGGTATGCAAATTTATTGGCATTTGCAAGTATCGTATCCATGGAGATTATATAGCCCCACCCCCTCATCATGGTTCATTGACTTTGAAACTTTTACATAGTTTGCAAGTTAATGTTTGTGTTTAGGTTAGTTTAAAGGGAACGACTTATAATAAGTCAATGGTATTTGGTATGCAGTTATATAAGCATTGGCACATCTCATTTCCATGGAGATTATTTTAACCATGTACCTTCAGTCATGGTTCATCGACAAATATTTGCATAACTTACATGTTAAAGTATTGCTATTTTAATTTCAACATTTGCATTATCAAAATTACAAAAAGGCGAGACATATCTCTGTGATAACAGTTTATTTAAGGTTACATAAAAAAAAAATTAATTCATAAAAACCACCTCGTAACAGTTAACTATAAAAAGAAGTACCAATGAAGTATTTTTATGTGATACATATATATTTTATCAGTCTTAAACAAGTAAATATGATTCATAGTTATTTTTCACAGATGCTTTAGATGATGGCACAACCTTACTTGTAAATTAGACTGACCTGAGAGGTATATTCATCAGTATTTATCTAATTAGTATGTATCGTATAATATGTTTTTTAAGATTACATAAAAAAAACCCAATCCATAAAAACCACCTCGTTGATCTTCATGGTGTGTAGTATTGTGTTCACCATTAGTGTGGGAGGTGGTGGGTTTGAACCCTGGACATTTAAACCAAAGACTTGAAAATTAATATTTGCTGCTTTTCCAAAATGAGGTAAATCAATATAGACTGTAAGCAGTTTTCACATCTGCCATGCAGTCACTTCCTGTTTGCCGATAGTTTGAAATTATACAACACTCATTGTACAATGAAAATTTCTTTGAACTTTTCTTTGCTTCTATGGAAGGGAATGATTTTATATTTGATGAACAGCTTGATAATTTTGAGTTGTAGCGTGTTAGCAATTTTTATTTCGGCTGTGCAGCTTCTTCCTGTTTGCCAGTAGTTTGAAATTTTACAACACTCATTGTACAAAGATAATTTTCATGAAAGTTTCTTGGCTCTTATGATTTTATGGAATGATCATTAATGCTTCAGTAAATATTTTACTCAATCAATTGCATGCAGCGACACAGGTCTATTTGTCTTGTTTGAAGTTATGGTCCCACAGCATAGGCTAGTGCCATTTTTGAAAAGAGCTTTTAGTTAAGGACTAAGCAACAAACTAAAATATGGCAATATAACACACCATTACAATATAATGTATAACCATTACAATATAACACACCATTACATTATAATGTATAACCATTACAATATAACACACCATTACATTATAATGTATAACCATTACAGTATAACACACCATTACATTATAATGTATAACTATTACAATATAACACACCATTACATTATAATGTATAACCATTACAATATAACACACCATTACAATATAATGTATAACCATTACAGTATAACACACCATTACATTATAATGTATAACCATTACAATATAACACACCATTACATTATAATGTATAACCATTACAGTATAACACACCATTACATTATAATGTATAACCATTACAATATAACACACCATTACATTATAATGTATAACCATTACAGTATAACACACCATTACATTATAATGTATAACCATTACAATATAACACACCATTACACTATAATGTATAACCATTACAATATAACACACCATTACAATATAATGTATAACCATTACAATATAACACACCATCACAATATAACACACCATTGCATTATAATGTATAACCATTACAGTATAACACACCATTACATTATAATGTATATCCATTACAATATAACACACCATTACGTTATAATGTATAACCATTACAATATAACACACCATTACATTATAATGTATAACCATTACAATATAACACACCATTACATTATAATGTATAACCATTACAATATAACACACCATTACATTATTCTTACTTTACTTTTCATAGTTTTAAATTAGTGTGGGCCCAACGGTCAGGGACCTTTCATTTCTGTGAGAGAATCTTTGAATTTTGGAAAACAAAGGTCCATGGCCTACAGTCCGTTACGTTAGTACTTATTTCAGGACCATTGAATTTCTTGAGGAGGGCTTTTCTCTTGAAAATTGAAATGGTCCAGGACTTAACATATTTTTAAGCAAATTGTAAAACTCATAATAGAAAGAATTTCAAGCTTCAATCCTGTAAGTACATTAAGTATGTTAAGATGGAGAGGGGTATCTGTGATCATTAGATAATTTCATTGTATAAAAATTAGGAGGTGTGGTATGATAAACAATGATACAATTATTCCTAGACCATAGGACAAAGATATAAACAATGACAGGTTGTCCAATAGCCTTCAACAATGAGCAAAACTCATGCCATATAATAATAAGGAGATGAGGTATGATTAACAATGATACAATTATTCCTAGACCATAGGACAAAGATATAAACAATGACAGGTCGTCCAACAGCCTTCACCTTCAACAATGAGCAAAACCCATACCATATAACCATAAGGAAGTGTGGTTAGATAAACAATGATACAATTATTTTTAGACCAAAGGACAAAGATATAAACAATTACAGGTGTCCAACAGCCTTCAACAAGGAGCAAAACCCATACCATATGATAATTAGGAGAGGTGGTATGATTAACAATGATACAATTATTCCTAGACCATAGGACAAAGATATAAACAATGACAGGCCGTCTAACAGCCTTCAACAATGAGCAAAACCCATGCCATATGATAATAAGGAGGTGTGGTATGATTAACAATGATACCATTATTCCTAAACCATAGGACAAATATATAAACAATTACAGGTTGTCCAACAGCCTTCAACAATGAGCAAAACCCATACCATATGATAATAAGGAGGTGTGGTTAGATAAACAATGATACAATTATTCCTAGACCATAGGACAAAGATATAAACAATTACAGGCTGTCCAACAGCCTTCAACAATGAGCAAAACCCATACCATATGATAATAAGGAGGTGTGGTATGATGAACAATGATACAATTATTCCTAGACTATAGGACAAAGTTGTAAACAATTACAGGTCGTCCAACAGCCTTCAACAATGAGCAAAACCCATACCATATGATAATAAGGAGGTGTGGTATGATTAACAATGATACAATTATTCCTAGACCATAGGACAAAGATATAAACAATTACAGGCTGTCCAACAGCCTTCAACAATGAGCAAAACCCATACCATATGATAATAAGGAGGTGTGGTATGATTAACAATGATACAATTATTCCTAGACCATAGGACAAAGATATAAACAATGACAGGTCGTCCAACAGCCTTCAACAATGAGCAAAACCCATACCATATGATAATAAGGAGGTGTGGTATGATAAACAATGATACAATTATTCCTAGACCATAGGACAAAGATATAAACAATTACAGGCTGTCCAACAGCCTTCAACAATGAGCAAAACCCATACCATATAATCATCTATAAATAGCCTTGGTATGATAAAATGTGAAACATTTCAAAAGAAAAAATCCACAGCCGAAAAAAACAATGAAGGAAAAACAAATATGGTACACAACTAACTACATCCACTACGTTATAGGTCCTGTCTGTGGACAGGCACATAAAGAATAAAAAAAACAATTGAATTTAATTTGACAGTTCTAGTTGATTATGGACAGTGTTTTAAGAAACTGTTACTTGATATTTGATATTGTTTTTCATGTGTGTCTAAAAGCTAGTAAATAAAACTTTTGAAATTCTTAGGTCTGGGAAAGTGCAATAGATGTTCTGGCGTTCGATGGAAAGAGTCACACCCTGCTTGTAGAATACATTTGTACCTCATTTAGGTATGTGATTAGATCTTAAAGGTTTTGAGTTCAGTTCATTAACTTCAAATAGTGCAGAAAAGTTGAGATAAATGACTGTTTCAATGCTATTATTATTTGAATGAAATCTAAAAATATTAGGTCAGTATTTTACATCCAATAATGATCATGTACTTTTTATTGGCAGTAACTATAATACATGTACCTCAATGATAACTCAACATTAGTTATTGAATATAATTTTTCTTATCTATTTTTAGGATATAATGGAGGATTGGAATAAGGTAAGATTTACCTAATAGTCTCCTTGTCATGTGTGGTTTTGTTCCCCATTATTGTACAAATAGATACAAGTATGTGATAATTTGAGATAAAAACTAGTAGAATACTAGGTGAACTACAAAACTACTTATTCCAAGAACACAGATCAAACAAAAAAATACAAAACTGGGACAAAGCAAGGTGCACTCAAAACATTTGACAAACTAAGGTGTTGCTAATAACTAATAGCAGAGATCGTCTTAATTGTCTTATCTTCTTCGCATTACACGGGTGACACTTGATCGTCTTACCTTCTACTCATAACTTGGGTGACACTTGTCTTATCTTCTATTCATAAGACGGGTGACACTTAATTGATTGTCTTATCTTGTACTCATTACACGGGTGACACTTGCACATATGCAGATTTCCTAGTAACTTTAATATATATCCTCTGAGGTAAGGGTGTCAATAACTTACACGGGAGTGCTATGCTTATTATCATACAATACTGAGTGGCAGTTTAGTTACACAAAAAGCATTTGAATCAGTATTGAGTAACTGATGACAAACAAAATGCAATTTAAGTTTTTTAGTATGAAATTTATCAAATATTTTTCAAATATGAGTGTATACTCTGTAAAGTTCTTTCCAGTAGTAGACAGTGTATTATTTATGTAGTACCTTCAGAATCCTTATTTAAAATGTCAAATATGTAATTCATAGGTCTATAGTGTTATTAGAAAAAAATATTGGACAATTTTACTAAATAAAACAAATACAGAAGTTCTCTCCCCTTGACATTGTTAAATTCGTGTGAGTTGAATAAGACATACATGTATCTATTTTATGATATAAAGGCCAATTGATTCAACACAACATTTTAATCCAAAAATTGTTTTTCTTGTTGGGTTATAGTCTCATTACTTTATTATAACCCACATCTACATTTATTCAGTCTACATACATTTATATAAAAATTTAAACACAAGTGAACCAACGCCTGGTAAATCTTCTGTCAGTAGATTCCATAAAGTGGATACCTCCATTATGCAGGGTCGTTAAGATAAAAACATAAAATGTAGAAGGTCCAGTAACAACAACACTTTAAGGAATGCTTCAGTAATTTATTGAGAGCGACATGTTTCGATGGCTAGGCCACCGTCATCAGGATAGAAAACAATACATAAAATCATGCTGAGGTACAAAATCGGGTTGAGAAAATTAAAACGTCACAATGTTGCTATGGTGAGTAACGTTATAAATAGCAACTTTACCAGATTACAAGATTTTTTGTATCCTGATGACTTGTGTTTAAATTTTTTCAACACTTTACAGTATTCCCGACGCGATTGGGAGTAGTACCTCTGGCCAAGGGAAGCCAGTCGAAATGGTACGGAATTGCCAGTAAAATGTCGTCTATATTTGGAAATAAAGACGTTAATTAAACACAAAGTTTACACAGAACACAACTGACAATAATTTATTGTATAATTCGTTCCACTGTGCAAGAGTGCTAACACATGATGGCAGAATAATTTTAACAAACATTTTAACAACAAAAACATTGTATTTTTATTTTATTTTATTTTTAAAAAAATATTTCTTTAAGGTTAACAATTTTTGTTTATCTTGATAATATAAAATGCATAAATTCCAACAATTACACGCTTTTTAAATATTTCCTCTCTGTCTGAATGTTTTATTAAGGAAAGATACTACTGATTTATGTAGTCATTGCTATACAGAAGAATATATAATTATTACCTAATTTAACAGTAAGGACATTCATAACAATCTACTTACAGAAACTTATAACAGCTGCTGTTACTGGAGATATAGAAGCCTTAAAATTAAGTCTACAGAATGATGCAAACATTGATTTTCAAGGTGTAAGTAAAATAGTCACATTCAAAACTACTTTAATTTAATACTTCATAGAAAAATCATTTTATGATACGTCGTCTTATGGTACATGTACAATAAAAGACACAAAACTACATGTTACTTGAAAACAAAGCACAGTAAAACAGTATAAAACTACAAGTTACTTCACAATAAAGCACAATAAAACAGTAACAAACTACAAGCTACTTCAAAATAAAGCACAGTGAAACATTATAAAACTACAAATTACTTCTAAATAAAGCACAGTAATACAGTATAAAACTACAAGTTTCTTCAAAATAAAGCACAGTAAAACAGTATAAAACTACAAGTTACTTCAAAATAAAGCACAGTAAAACAGTATAAAACTACAAGTTACTTCTAAAGAAAGAAATAAATCACAGGTAAACAGTATAAAACTACAAGTTACTTCAAAATAAAGCACAGTATAACAGTATAAAACTACAAGTTACTTCTAAAGAAAGAAATAAATCACAGTAAAATAGTATAAAACTACAAGCTACTTCAAAATAAAGCACAGTAAAACAGTATTAAACTACAAGTTACTTCAAAATAAAGCACAGTGAAACAGTATAAAACTGCAAGTTACTTCAAAATAAAGAAATAAATCACAATAAAATAGTATAAAACTACAAGTTTAATTCCTCAAAATAAAGCACAGTAAAACAGTAGAGAACTACAAGTTACTTCTAAATAAAACACAGTATAACAGTATGAAACTAAACGTTACTTCAAAATGAAGCACAGTATAACAGTATAAAACTAGTATTTACTTCTAAATAAATCACAGTAAAACGGTATTAAACTACAAGTTACTTCTAAATAAAGAAATAAAGATCTGTATAACAGTATAACACTACAAGTTACTTCTAAATAAAGATATAAACCACAGTAAAACAGTATAAAACTACAAGCTACTTCAAAATAAAGCACAGTAAAACAGTATTAAACTACAAGTTACTTCTAAATAAAGAAATAAGGATCTGTATAACAGTATAACACTACAAGTTACTTCTAAATAAAGATATAAACCACAGTAAAATAGTATAAAACTACAAGCTACTTCAAAATAAAGCACAGTAAAACAGTATAGAACTACAAGTTACTTCAAAATAAAGCACAGTAAAACAGTATAGAACTACAAGTTACTTCAAAATGAAGCACAGTAAAACAGTATTAAACTACAAGTTACTTCAAAATAAATCACAGTAAAACAGTATTAAACTACAAGTTACTTCAAAATAAAGCACAGTAAAACAGTATAGAACTACAAGTTACTTCTAAAGAAAGAAATAAATCACAGTAAAATAGTATAAAACTACAAGCTACTTCAAAATAAAGCACAGTAAAACAGTATTAAACTACAAGTTACTTCAAAATAAAGCACAGTGAAACCGTATAAAACTGCAAGTTACTTCTAAATAAAGATATAAACCACAGTAAAATAGTATAAAACTACAAGCTACTTCAAAATGAAGCACAGTAAAACAGTATTAAACTACAAGTTACTTCAAAATAAAGCACAGTAAAACAGTAGAGAACTACAAGTTACTTCTAAATAAATCACAGTATAACAGTATGAAACTAAACGTTACTTCAAAATGAAGCACAGTAAAACAGTATAAAACTACAAGTTACTTCTAAAGAAAGAAATAAAGATCTGTATAACAGTATAACACTACAAGTTACTTCTAAATAAAGATATAAACCACAGTAAAACAGTATAAAACTACAAGCTACTTCAAAATAAAGCACAGTAAAACAGTATTAAACTACAAGTTACTTCTAAATAAAGAAATAAAGATCTGTATAACAGTATAACACTACAAGTTACTTCTAAATATAGAAATAAACCATAGTAAATAATAGTATAAAACTACATGTTACTTCAAAATAAAGCACAGTATAACAGTATTAAACTACGAGTTACTTCTAAATGAAGAAATAAATCACAGTAAAACAGTATAAAACTACAAGTTACTTCAAAATAAAGCACAGTAAAACAGTATTAAACTACAAGTTACTTCTAAATAAAGAAATAAATCACAGTAAAACAGTATAAAACTACAAGTTACTTCTAAATGAAGAAATAAATCACAGTAAAATAGTATAAAACTACAAGTTATTTCAAAATAAAGCACAGTAAAACAGTAAGAAACAAAAAGTTACTTCAAAATGAAGCACAGTATAAAACTAGAAGTTACTTCAAAATAAAGCACAGTAAAACAGTATTAAACTACAAGTTACTTCTAAATGAAGAAATAAATCACAGTAAAATAGTATAAAACTACAAGTTACTTCTAAATAAAGCACAGTAAAACAATATTAAACTACAAGTTACTTCAAAATAAATCACAGTAAAACAGTATTAAACTACAAGTTACTTCAAAATGAAGCACAGTGAAACAGTATAAAACTACAAGTTACTTCTAAATAAAGCACAGTGAAACAGTATGAAACTAAACGTTACTTCAAAATGAAGCACAGTAAAACAGTATAACACTACAAGTTACTTCTAAATAAAGAAATAAATCACAGTAAAATAGTATAAGACTACAAGTTAATTCAAAATAAAGCACAGTAAAACAGTATAAAACTACAAGTTACTTCTAAATAAAGCACAGTATAACAGTATGAAACTAAACGTTACTTCAAAATGAAGCACAGTAAAACAGTATAACACTACAAGTTACTTCTAAATAAAGAAATAAATCACAGTAAAATAGTATAAAACTTCAAGTTAATTCAAAATAAAGCACAGTAAAACAGTAGGAAACAAAACATTACTTCAAAATGAAGCACAGTATAAAACTAGAAGTTACTTCTAAATAAATCACAATAAAACAATATAAAAGTACAAGTTACTTCTAAATAAAGCACAGTATAACAGTATGAAACTAAACGTTACTTCAAAATGAAGCACAGTATAACAGTATAAAACTACAAGTTACTTCTAAATAAATCACAGTAAAACAGTATAAAACTACAAGTTAGTTCAAAATGAAGCACAGTAAAACAGTATAGAACTACAAGTTACTTCAAAATAAAGCACAGTAAAACAGTATAGAACTACAAGTTACTTCAAAATGAAGCACAGTAAAACAGTATTAAACTACAAGTTACTTCAAAATAAAGCACAGTAAAACAGTATTAAACTACAAGTTACTTCAAAATAAAGCACAGTAAAACAGTATAGAACTACAAGTTACTTCTAAAGAAAGAAATAAATCACAGTAAAATAGTATAAAACTACAAGTTACTTCAAAATAAATCACAGTAAAACAGTATTAAACTACAAGTTACTTCAAAATAAAGCACAGTGAAACAGTATAAAACTGCAAGTTACTTCAAAATAAAGAAATAAATCACAATAAAATAGTATAAAACTACAAGTTTAATTCCTCAAAATAAAGCACAGTAAAACAGTAGAGAACTACAAGTTACTTCTAAATAAAACACAGTATAACAGTATGAAACTAAACGTTACTTCAAAATGAAGCACAGTATAACAGTATTAAACTACAAGTTACTTCTAAATAAAGAAATAAAGATCTGTATAACAGTATAACACTACAAGTTACTTCTAAATAAAGATATAAACCACAGTAAAACAGTATAAAACTACAAGCTACTTCAAAATAAAGCACAGTAAAACAGTATTAAACTACAAGTTACTTCTAAATAAAGAAATAAGGATCTGTATAACAGTATAACACTACAAGTTACTTCTAAATAAAGATATAAACCACAGTAAAATAGTATAAAACTACAAGCTACTTCAAAATAAAGCACAGTAAAACAGTATAGAACTACAAGTTACTTCAAAATAAAGCACAGTAAAACAGTATAGAACTACAAGTTACTTCAAAATGAAGCACAGTAAAACAGTATTAAACTACAAGTTACTTCAAAATAAAGCACAGTAAAACAGTATTAAACTACAAGTTACTTCAAAATAAAGCACAGTAAAACAGTATAGAACTACAAGTTACTTCTAAAGAAAGAAATAAATCACAGTAAAATAGTATAAAACTACAAGTTACTTCAAAATAAATCACAGTAAAACAGTATTAAACTACAAGTTACTTCAAAATAAAGCACAGTGAAACAGTATAAAACTACAAGTTACTTCTAAAGAAAGAAATAAATCACAGTAAAATAGTATAAAACTACAAGCTACTTCAAAATAAAGCACAGTAAAACAGTATTAAACTACAAGTTACTTCAAAATAAAGCACAGTGAAACCGTATAAAACTGCAAGTTACTTCTAAATAAAGATATAAACCACAGTACAATAGTATAAAACTACAAGCTACTTCAAAATGAAGCACAGTAAAACAGTATTAAACTACAAGTTACTTCAAAATAAAGCACAGTAAAACAGTATAGAACTACAAGTTACTTCTAAAGAAAGAAATAAATCACAGTAAAATAGTATAAAACTACAAGCTACTTCAAAATAAAGCACAGTAAAACAGTATTAAACTACAAGTTACTTCAAAATAAAGCACAGTGAAACCGTATAAAACTGCAAGTTACTTCTAAATAAAGATATAAACCACAGTAAAATAGTATAAAACTACAAGCTACTTCAAAATGAAGCACAGTAAAACAGTATTAAACTACAAGTTACTTCAAAATAAAGCACAGTAAAACAGTATAGAACTACAAGTTACTTCTAAAGAAAGAAATAAATCACAGTAAAATAGTATAAAACTACAAGGTACTTCAAAATAAAGCACAGTAAAACAGTATTAAACTACAAGTTACTTCAAAATAAAGCACAGTAAAACAGTAGAGAACTACAAGTTACTTCTAAATAAAACACAGTAAAACAGTATGAAACTAAACGTTACTTCAAAATGAAGCACAGTAAAACAGTATAAAACTACAAGTTACTTCTAAAGAAAGAAATAAAGATCTGTATAACAGTATAACACTACAAGTTACTTCTAAATAAAGATATAAACCACAGTAAAACAG